TCTCTCTCTCTCTCTCTCTCTCTCTCTCTCTCTCTCTCTCTCTCTCCTTCCAGTATATGGAGAGTGGAGAGGGAGCCCCAACTGCCCTTCCCCTGCCATCAGATTGGTGAATACCCCGACTATCATTATAGAGCCTGCATCCCGCATCTTATGGAAACCGCAGCTTACAGAAACCAATGGAGAGATCCACAACCAAGCCCCAGGCAGAGCTTGGGGGATCCAATAGAAGAGACAGAGGAGAGAATATACAAGCAGGGGAGGTCAAGATCATGATGGAGAAATCTACAGAGACAGCTGAACCCAGCTTGTGGGAACTCACGAACTCTAGACCACAGCTGTGGAGCCTGTGTGGGACCGAGCTAGGTGGTTTGGCCTACATGTGGGAGACAGTGGTGAAGCTTGGATTTACCTGTGAGGCCCCTGGCAGTAGGACCAGAATCTATCCCTGGTGCATGAGCTGGCTTGTTGGAGCCCATTCCCTATGGTGGGATGCCATGCCCAGACTTAATGCAAGGGGAAGAGACTTGGTCCTGCCCCAACTTAATGTGCCAGACTTTGTTGACTCCCCTGGGAGCCCTTACCTGTTGGGAGGAGTGGATGGAGAGGTGGGGGGGCACAGGTCAGGAGAGAAGAAACGGGGGGGGGGGGAAGAACTGTGAATGAACAATAAAATGAAATTAAAAATAAATTAAAATAAAAAGAAAGAAAGAAAAAGAAAGTGTGTTTAATTTCTGCTCCTGCTGCCGTGCATCCTGGCCATGATGGTCTTTATCCCTCTGGAACCACAAGCTAAAGTCAATCCCGCCCTTCTCTAAGTCTCTCTTGGTCCTGTTTTGGCAGAAAAGTGACTAATACAAGAAGTGAGCACCCTGGAGGTGCCACAGAGGTGGCAGATCCAATATGTAATGTATGTGTGTATAGACAGATAAGTGGTGTAGTTCTCCTGAGTATCCTGGTATTTTATATAATACTACGCCATAAATTAGATATGATACACACACACACACACACACACATACACACACACACACACACACACACACACACACACACACACACACATATATATATATATATATATATATATATATAGTACCAGACCTATCTTGGGCACTTATTACAAATGACACACACACACACATTATATGTACCTGTATGTGTGCATATATATCGTGGGTGTGTGGAGTGTGCTTTATAAAGTTTGGGTTGAAGAAGGAAAACAGAGGCAATTTCTAAGTTAAGAGACCCATTACATGGAGAATGATCTCCTTTGGTGGACAAAACAAAGTCAGCACTTTTTCAAGGAGGGAAAACAATGATTTTTGATGATGTTGTGGTGAATTCCAGAACGTCCTAGACAGTTTTATGTCAACCTGGCACTGCCTAGAAAAGTCATCCGAGAAGAGGGAGTCTCGATTGCAAAAACATGCCTCTGTAAGATGGGCTTGCAGGCAAGGCTGTGGCAAATGTTCTTGATTTGCAGTTGATGTGGGAAAGCCCAGTCCACTGTGGGTGGTGCCATTTCCGGGAAGGTGATTCTGGTCTATAAGAAAAACCAATCTAAGCAAGCCAGTAAGCAGCTTTCCTCCGAGATGTCAAGATGTGGGCTCTTTCCTCCAGGCTGCGGCCTTCCCTTTCGTCAGTGAAGAACTGAGGTGAGTTGTGTAAGCCATAGAAACCCTTTCCTCCTCAGGTTGCTTTTGGACATGGTGTTTTATCACAGCAACAGAAGCCCTAACTAACACATAGAGAAATTAAGATTTCCTGTGAGTGGAGAGTGGCAGGCCTAGAACGTGGAGTGTTTGATATACCGAAAGGGAAGCCAGGGAGAATGTGATTGCTACTCACAGTCAGGGTGAGACAGGAAGGCTCGGGGCAAATGTAACTATTCTGTGGCTGTTCAACTTGAGGCCCCATCCTCCTTCAATAGAATATTTCTAGCCTATCCCTCCCCATTGAGTCCTTTACCATGTATCATTTTTTTTTATTTTGTTTTGATTGTATAAACCAGGCTGGAAACCTCTTAAGTAGAATTAATTACTTGTATCCTTTATAGTGTGTAATATGAACATTTCATGAAATAAATTTTAGTTTGTCAGTTTTTTCAAATTTTAATTTCTTTTTCTTATGATTTATTTTTATTTTATGTGCATTGGTATTTTGCCTGCATGTATGTCTGTGTGAGGGTGTCAGGCCCCCTGGAACTGGAACCACAGACAGTTTTGAGCTGCCACGGTAGTGGGGAGGTTGGGGTGAGGGAGTGCTAAGAATTGAACCCAGGTCCTCTGGAAGAACAGTCAGTGCTCTTAACTGTTGAGCCATTTCAGCAACCCTGATCAAGTTTTCTTTAAAATGATGAAGAAAGTCTATGTTCTGTAGAAAACTGTGTTTTTCTTTTTTAATGTGTGGATTTTTGAAAGCACCACAGGGAATAGAAAATCGATTTTCTGATTGTCAGAAAAAGTTATCAGATTTTTCATAAGAGATGCTAA